TTTCAGGAGGCTGTGGGATGAATATTTATCAGAAGGCAGGTCAAACTTTTCCAACAAGCGTCTGATCATGAAGTCAATTCTTTCACACACCCGCAGAATCGACGTCGATCTCTTTTAAAGTCCCGTGCTACACACATGGCTCAGTATCGGATGTGCCACACACAACCCACACCCCTAGCAACGATGCAGGCCCTAACAAGAGATCGACGTTGAGTACACTAGTCTTCTCGTGCACATATTCACTGGGAATAGGTTAGATGCATTCCAGCTATGTGTTCCCAACTGTTTTCGTGCTGTTTGGCAAATTTGTTGAAAACTGACGACCATTATTTATTTGGTAGCGTTTCTTTTGCCCTCTAATTTATATTTGTATGAACGTTGATGTTTTGAATGAATGTGTTTAAGAGGTTGAACTTTAACCTAAGCAAGGAATGTTCAACAGTGTATTTTAATATTGTCTTGTTTATATATTAAGGTATATCTACCATTGTCTACCATTATGGAAAAGCACAAACTATGTATTTTGATATTTATTTCATTGCATTTAGTTTGCATAGTAATTTAAAAATTGTCTGTGCACTTGGTAATACTATTTTCTTAGAGCTTTAAGTATTAACATATTATGTACATATGATGCATAAGTATTTATTACTGCTCTTTCTTGTGCAGGACATATATCATAAGCAGTGACGATTTCAGTGTGTCACGTGTTGCACCCTTGTGCCACACATTGGGTATGTGTGCTTTGTATATCATTTTCTTATCTGAGATACACGTAGAAGTGCATCACATGTGTAGCTATTTTATCCAATATGTTTTATAAGCCGTTTCTCTCATATCATCTAATAGTATTTGGTTGTAAGCAATGTAAGAGCAATGCAATTTAATATGCATATATTGTATTATCTATTGTTAATTATTACAGGGTGTCAGTCTTGCTTATTCACAAGTAAACAGAAGCCGTCTTTGGTGTCATATTTGTGTATATATAATGGATAATGCACAGACAATTCGGATACATAATATTTAGTTAATGCATGTTAAGTTAAAATGGTTTAAAAATATTTTATTTCGACTAAAAATAGGGATCGGTAAACAATACTTTTTTAAAAATATCTCTCCCTATATATAATCATAAAAGTAGGTATGTTCCCTGATCTGATTGGTTAATAAGTGTTGTCGAATGAGCATAACATCACTGAATATTTGGGGTCTCATCACCGTGTATGTATACATTAATTAATGGAACTATTTTTGAAATAATCAACATGGAGGAACAGATGGAATTTTACCCTGACTTCCACATTGGAGATTTCAATGAAATATTGAGCGAATGGGACGTCGAGACATTTCTGAGATAATTCAAGAATTTGAAGGTAAATGAAGTTTACCTTTTTCCATTAATTACACAATCATAATCATAAATGATATTATTTTCATGGGTTTGGTCAAAGGGAAAAACAAAACAATATCAATTTTTAAGAGAGTAAAAAACATTTATTGCAACTCTATAATAGTTATAACTTTCACACACCCACCTAATTTTGTTATTATTATTGCTCACAACAGCTGTTGAAGCTGAAAACCGTTCTGAGATGGCCACTGAACTAGCGTTTCCGTAGAGCCCAAAGTTCAAGCGGCCAGTGACCGCTTCGCGTCCCTTGATGCAAAAGCAGTACAGGACATCGTGGATGGGAACCTCTCCAAATCTACTGGGCGTAATACCTCCCGGGTAGTTAAAATATTTCGACGTAAGCCATTGAAACATAAAAGAATACATAAACACATACCTAAAATTCCTACGCAGATTCGATCAACATCAGCGAGAGTTACCTCCCTTACACCAATGCCATGATAGCAATGTAAAGCGTGACAAATGTGTCATCGCAAAAATTGACAATAATATAACGAGATTGACCAAAATCTTAACGTAAATTAAATATTTTGTTTTATAAGATTTGAGATATGTTATGCTAAATGGATGTACGGAAATTTCATTTACGTAATAATAACAAATTACTCCCACTTACTGTCACATTTGTACCCTGAACAAGGCAATCTTTTCACTTCCAGAATGGCTTGGATTCCAAAGTTTTGATCCCAAGTTCTTCATGCTTCTTAACTGAATGAGAGACTGAGGTTCTTTTATGCCGAAGTCAGAAATGCTGAGGGAGATCTTTACTCAAAATCGAGTTTTGTTGGGTTGCGTGCTGCCATACATAGGCACATCCTGGGACCGCCATTTGAGCGCAGCACAAACATTATCCAAGACCGGGAATTTCACACTGCAAACAATATTTTTCTGTCCATGATAAAAAACTTAAGCGCGATGGCCTTGACCAGACAACACATCATGCTGCTATCCCCCAGAACTATTTAAAAAAATCGTGAAAGTCTGGATACGGAAACTCCTTCGGGCTTGCTTCGTAAAGTGTGGTTCGACCTTACACTCGGTTTCGCTCGTCGTGGTAAAGAAAACCAAAGGGAATTAACTGTATCTTCCTTTCGTGTATCCACTGATGAACAGGGGTTCTAGTTTATTGAAATGACACACTCCGAAGCCACTAAAAATCACGTCTCTCCTCAATCCCAACAATGGTGCTTTTTACCAGGCTCCCAAAGAGACGAGTCCACAACGACGACACCGAATGGAACACCACGAGGCCAGTTGGTGTAAATGTCATTGGCAACATGATGAAAGAAATTTCTACCAATGCTGGTCTCAAAGTGTATACAAACCATTGTCATCGGGCAACTGCCGTCACTTTGCTGTCAAACGCAGGTATTGAAAATCGCGAGATTTCCAAAATTACCGACCACAAAACCGATGAATCGTTGAAAGTCGTATTCCATTGACTCGAGCTCGGCTCAAAAACGACATTATTCGAACATTCTTCAGGGACAGCAGCAGCTCGCTAACGAACGTAATTTGGTACCTGTCCAAGATAGAAATATCCTGCCACTGTCCACTGCTCCCGTGAATGACTTCCAGGTTATTTCTTCTGCTAATTCCCATGGTCTCTTTCACATATGTAATTCCACTGTGACAGTAAACAACTTTTTCCATCCCAGCTAAGCTGCATGTCTAAAATCTGTTTGACGTCTCGTGTCACCACCTCAGTTTCAGGCGAGTTGACACTATCTTGTACAGGGGCCAAACAGTATGTACGTCTTTTCTAATTTTGATTATTTGTATTTTATAGAAACGCATTACTACAAATTACAAGTAAGCTGGGTTGAACATGTGACCACCCCTTTCGTAAAATGAACCATCATTATTGGAGTACCTCGAAACCATAAATCGGTTTCGCGGCACCCCATATCATGTATGTTTTCGAAGGTGAGCACGAGGAGACGTATTGCAAACGACAGTTTTGTTGTGTCATGCGCTCAGTAAATTAGTTCCTCCTAAATAGCGATTTTAATGAACGTTCATGTTACAATGTCGATAAATACATTATGTCGTTGTGTTCAAATCAAATTTCCGTACATCAATTCAGCATAACATCACACAAATCTTACAAAACGAAATATTTATCTCCTAAGTAACAGAAGAAAGCCAAGGTGTAAACATGATAATTACACACAATATACCTTGGTGGTCAGTTATTAACTGAAGCATAGTCAACAGTGCCCGATTTGATAGAATGATTGGATTATACGTAATATTAAATTTCTTTAGATAGATTATTCCATAATTTTGTAGAATTAGGTACAAAGGATTTTGCATAAGGTTCAGTCTTACATCTAATTGTTTGGAGGTCTGAGGTTTAACATTTACCCCTTTGGTAAAACTCATGGACACGGTCGGGTTAGGTGTTAAGGAAGAGGGAAATTACTAGGGCGAGACCTGGATATGTGTTTGGTGTTTTAGCCGTTTTATAAACCTTGAGAAAATCTGAAATAATTTCATGATTTCAGTACACTACCCATGAACCTTAGGAAACGGATGTAAAATATTTCTTGTGAAAAAATGATTTTTAAAAACCCATTGTAGTATATCAGCGCCTCTGTAGCATACGAAGTTTTTAACAAATACAAAGGTTTCGATCCCACTGACATATTTATGTTTCCAACACACTACCCATGAACCTTAGGAAACGGACCTAAAATAAGTCTGGTAAAAAAGGATTTTAAAAAACCAGTGTAGTATATCAGCGCCTCTGTAGGGGAGTGGTTCACTCACAAACGAAGTTTTTAACAAATACAAAGGTTTCGATCCCACTGACATATTAGTATCATTTGGCTTTGATTGTACATCTTTTCGCACATTTCCTTTGGTTAGCATATGTTATGTGGATAATGCAAAATAAATCTCAAAGGGACATTCCACAGAATATTCCTGGACAGAGGGATATTCTGTAGAAAGTCTCTGCCGAGAGAATGTTCTACAAAACGAAGGCCCCGTAACACTATATGATTAGGTCACTACAGGTTTATAAAATGATTGTACGTACATGTAGGCCAACTTTACCATGAGAAATGAGAGAGCAGTCTTTGTACTTGATAAACCAATAGGTAACATTATGGAAGTCGCAGCACACAATACACGCTCTGTGGTGAAACGTGTTTGTCAATAATAACTCCCCGAGGGTAACCGTATACCTCACTCAGACACATTTATACGAGGGCTGGTCAAAACGTTCTAAGTTTAACAAAACCAACAATTGTGAAAGTGTTTTAATTATATTTTTCAACATAATCTCACTGCTTTTCAATACATTTCTAAAATCAATTGGGACCTGTGAAGATCCGGGTTAGAATAGGTCTTCAACAACCAATGCTTGTCGTATGCGACTGTTCTTGTAAGAGGCGACTAAAGGGATCGGGTGGTCAAGCTCGCTGCTTTGGCTGATGCAGGTCATCGTATCCACTGGATTGTCTGGTCCAGACTCGATCGTTTACAGATCACCGTCATATGGCTGGAATATTGCTTTGTGCAGCGTAAAGCAACAAACAAACAAAAAACACAACATCACGACTTAATCACATGTGCAAGTCACATAGCAGAAATTTATTACCTACAAGCAGTGGATTGGTGTATTTCTATGCGCAGTCAACATCACATATTGACATGTGTATGCAGCTGACTCGGCCCAGACACAGAGTACAGAGTCCTCGGGTATTCGCATAATGACCTCACTAAGACTAATCATCATGTTTTGTGATACCGAAAAATTAATTAAATTTTACCTTACAGCCTTCTGATTTATTACAATTACGATTCAGTTGCGATCTTTTCTAAAAGATCGGCGAACCGGGTATTGCCACTCTCACTCCCACTCCTGTTGATGAATAGTAAGGTCTTGGCCTCGACGCGCCAAACTCTGACTCCTCTGACGTTATTCCTCGGGTTAACGCAAGTTCTTCAAGAGATATTTCGCCTGACATTTTAGCAATTTTCAAAGGGGTTCTGTCACTGTGGTCCTTAGCATTGAGGTCTTGGTGTTTGCTGAGGATTGCATGTAATATTGCTTCTTTTTTATCCCCTTGAAGATCATGAGAATATCCAGGTGTACCAAAAGATAATTGTGGTCTTTTCCTGAAATTCCCAAAATACCAAAATGTGTTGGTGATACAGCGTCTTCAGCGAGGTGCAATGCTGATTTTCCATTTCTATTTGTAATATTGACATCAGACCGTAAAACACTCAAAAGGGCTTTGACAGAACGATAATCGTTATTCTTTACACAAGTGTGAAGAGGCGTGTTACCGTCTTCGTCTTGAGCATTGACGTCAGCTCCAGCGGCAATCAGTTGTTTGGCGTTGCTTTGTCCCTCGTTTATGGGTTTATTTATACACAAATAATTTTTTTTTTCACGTACAAGATGCAGCGCTGTTTCACCCAATCCGTTTTTTGTAGTAACATCTGCCCCAGCTGTGAGTAGTGGTGAGATATCCCATCCTGTCATTGCAGCCATCATCAGAGGCGTGTTACCATCTTCGTCTTGAACATTGATGTCAGCTCCAGCAGCAATCAGTTCTGTGACGCTCTTGTGTGAGGCTGAGTCTCCAAACAGGGGATGTTGGTGTTTACTTACAAGATGCAGTGCTGTTTTACCCAATTTATTTTTTGACGTAACATCTGCCCCAGCTTTGAGTAGTGGTGAGATACGTCTATCCCATCCTGTCATTGCAGCCATCATCAGAGGCGTGTTACCATCTTTGTCTTGAACATTGACGTCAGCTCCAGCATCAATCAGTTGTTCTATGACGCTCTTGTATGTGACTGCGGCTACATTCAGGCAATATCGGTGTTCACTTACAAGATGCAGCGCTGTTTTACCCAATTCATTTTGTGAAGTAACATCTGCCCCAGCTTTGAGTAGTGGTGAGATATCCCGTCCTGTCTTTACAGCCATTATCAGAGGCGTGTTACCATCTTTGTCTTGAACATTGACGTCAGCTCCAGCATCAATCAGTTGTTCTGTGACGCTCTTGTTTATGTCTGCGGCTCCATACAGGTCATGTTGGTGTTCACTTACAAGATGCAGCGCTGTTTTACCCAATCCATTTTGTGAAGTAACATCTGCCCCAGCTGTGAGTAGTGGTGAGATATCCCGTCCTGTCTTTACAGCCGTCATCAGAGGCGTGTTACCTTCTATGTCTTGAGCATTGACGTCAGCTCCAGCAGCAATCAGTTGTTCGGTGTTGCGTTGTCTCTCATTTATGGGTGCATGTTCATACCTGTGATGACTTGCAAGATGTAGCGCTGTTTCACCCAAACTATTTTGTGAATTAACATTTGCCCCAGCTGTGAGAAGTGGTGAGATATTCCATCCTTTCTTTAGAGCCTTCATTAGAGGCGTGTTACCATCTTTGTCTTGAACATTGACGTCAGCTCCAGCGGCTATCAGCTGTTCGGTGTTGCTTTGTCTCTCATTTATGGGTGCATGTTCATACCTGTCATCACTTACAAGATGCAGCGCTGTTTCACCCAATCTATTTTGTGAATTAACATTTGCCCCAGCTGTGAGAAGTGGTGAGATATCCCATCCTGTCTTTACAGCCTTCATCAGAGGCGTGTTACCATCTTTGTCTTGAACACTGACGTCAGCTCCAGCGACAATCAGTTGTTCGGTGTTGCTTTGTCTCTCATTTATGGGTGCATGTTCATACCTGTGATCACTTACAAGATGCAGCGCTGTTTCACCCAATCTATTTTGTGAATTAACATTTGCTCCAGTTGTGAGAAGTGGTGAGATATTCCATCCTTTCTTTACAGCCATCATCAGAGGCGTGTTACCTTCTTTGTCTTGAACATTGACGTCAGCTCCAGCGGCAATCAGTTGTTCAGTGTTGCTTTGTCTCTCGTTTATTGGTGCATCGACGTCAGCTCCTGCTTCGAGTAGAGCTTCAACATTGACTGCAATCTCCCACCCCCTGTCTGCAGCTGTACCACCTTGTGTATTGCTGGTGCACACTTCAGATCCGGCCTCCAGTGATGTTTTTACCATCATCCGACTGTTGTGTTTAACAGCTATCATCAGCGGTGTGTCACCATGTATATTTTGAGCATTGACATCAGCGCCAGCTTTGAGCAGGGGTGAGATGTTTTTGTTCTGCTCAACTGCCAACATCAGAGGTGTATTGCCTTGCTTATCTGTAACATTCACATCTCTGCTGCATTCAATAATCTTCACTACTGCATCATGTTCAGAGGTAGTATTCTCGATGTTTGTATTTCTAGTAACTGTATGAATGGGTGTGTCCATTTCCTTGTTCTTGGTATTTGCATTTGCCCCAGCATTCAATAGAATGAAAGCAGCTTGTATGAAGTAAGAGTTGAGTGCACTCTGAAGTGGTGTGTTACCTTCACTGTCTGGTATGTCCAACACTGAAGATGGTGCTTTACTAGCTCTATTATCATCAGGTTTACATGTATCTCCAGATAATTGTGTGACAGGCTCTACTCTCAGTTGTTTCTTCAGTCTGTATGCATCAGGGACTTCAACAGTTTTCTGGTTAGGCTTATTCAACCCATATACACCATGCAACGGAGTTTGGCCACTTTTATGGACAACATTCGCGTCCGCGCCTTCAGTCAGTAATGCCACTATAACATCAAACCTCTGTGATGAAGCCGCCACTTGTAGTGGTGTGAGATTTTGTCTGTTGAGGGCGTTGACATCCGCTCCTTGTTTGACCAAGAAATGTATAAGGGAAGATATCTCTATCTTTTGATTGGCTGTAGGATTGCTCTCTTTCGCTCCAAACTTTCTTGCAAAGAGTTCAACCATCTCCAGGTTATTCTCTGTGACAGCAAGATGTAGTGATGTGCATCCATCATTGTTAACCACATCAATGCTGGCTCCTCCTTCTACGAGCAGTCGAGACACAGACGCACCCGTTTCCCCTGACAGTACTGCATAATGAAGAGGAGTGTTTCCTTGACAATCTTGATCATTTACAACGCAGCCTGATTTTAGACTGAAAATTACAGCAGCCCTATTTCCTATCCTGGATGCTTGGTGGAGCATGCTGCGACCAGTTTCATCCTTCCTGTGAATGTCAGATGTATATTCTGTCATCCAATGTGCTGCTTCGTTTTCATCTTCAAACTCTGAAACAAAATAGCAATATCAAAATAGGTAATTGAAATCGAACTTTATAAACACATCAATGGTAACAATGCAGACATACATGTTTGATTCAGCTAAGTTGATTATTCCATTATTGTTTTGTCAGTCTCTCTCATTCGATTTGCGTTTGAAATGTTGCAAGTCAGAAAGAACCTTATTAGCTACCAATACACAACAACCAAGCTTCATTTGTTTTTTCAAAGCTAAAGAAATGTTCAAGGATCTTTTTAACAGTGCATGTTTATACATAATGCAAAAAAAATATTGTCTAAAAGTTGTTTGTTTTATTGAAAAATAACTCATATACTTCCCTTGCTCCTGTTCTAAACCTAAATTTAATATAAATAAATGTACACGTTAGGATATATTTGCTACCATGCAGTATGTAGAAAGCACTTTTCTTGCATCAAACAATTCGACATAAGTATGGTAAGAATGGTAAGCTAAACTACATATAGCATTTAACATAGTGATGCTTATATCAGTCTAAAATGCACCGTTAAATGCCATAATGCCAATAATATAGTTCGTGAATATAGTATTATGACCGTATTACGACTTTCACGTGCAAACTGAGCATTTGCTTTGAATACCATGAGCATGATGAGTATCTCATGAAATGAAAGGTGATATTATCAAATTACAATGCTACTGTGTATTTACCGAAAATATCCACATCCAGAGGTGTGAGTGGAAGAGATGCACTGATGCTGACTTCCATCCGGGTGCCTTTTGGCAGTTTAGCAATGATGTCTTCAGACAGGATCTTAGTGATGACTTCTCTCAGCCAAACTGGTCCGAGTTTTGTGCCCGGCTCCACTGCCACCCTGATGATGACAGATCCCAGACTGGTGGACTCCACTCTGGTGTTGTGTGGTTTGAGGGAGATGTTAATGTTGTTGATGTTGTTGTCGATGTGCCTCTTGATTTCCACACACACTTCGTAGTCTGTGTCAGGCGTCTTTATGGTCAACTCGTAGCCCTGAATCGATGGGCCTGAAACAAGAATTTACAAAACCAACCTCATTGAAATCAGATCTTAGTTCTCCTTCCGCTTAACAAAGATCTGAGGACATCCCATTACGGGTCACGTCAGACTGACCTTACGCGAACTTTGACCGGCCAATGGAATGACCAATCAGAAGGAAGCTTCTCGTGCTTTACGTCACTAATTTCAAATTGGCGACTACGTTTCGAAACATATTTTGACAAATTCTCGATTACAAATTTGAAACCTAAACAAAAGAACGTTCTGGAATGGCTAATAGATGGTCTAGATTGTAAGGATTCAGTCGTTAAACCCGTAACTATCGTTTGGAATACCCCGTTTTAAAGTTTTCGAAATTACATGATTAGAAATCACATTCTGACTGTCACTTTCATAATCTGGTAAGCGACGCTCTGATTGGTCGGATGAAAGGTCGTTCTGACGTGACCACTTATGGGAATCCTTTAGATCTTTGTTTATCGGTAGCGAGAACTAAGGTCTGATTTTAATGAGATTGTTACAAAACATCATATTTATTGTATATTTTATACACCTGCTAAAATAATTTTTGACATAGTTTATAATGGCCAACTTCGCCCAAAACGGCACTTGAAGGTGTTTGTTTTCCCAGTTTCAAAATTCTTTTAAAGAATAAAATTTGTAATCTTTCTATAGATCCCCTGTATGTATGTCCCCAAATTTCACAACCATGATATAGAATATGGCATTTAGGTTAAAAAGTGTCCATCAGATTATTAAAGGCGTCTTGTCCTTCCACCTCATTCATTTGTTGTGGAAAAGGCAGCAAGAAGTTTTAGCCTTTAATGCTAAGATATATGAACCATCAGCTGTTGGGAATTTAGAAAGGGGATACCAAGACATCTGATACTGTGCAGGCTTCCGTCAGATTATCGTGATATTCCGTCGATTCATGAGGATGTGCTCAGTAACATTAGTAAAACATTGAACAAGGATGGTGCGGTAAATGTTTAGTCATAATCTATAAAACCATAAGGCAACAATGATGTGCCATCGTCTAATATATATCTTTTGTTGTCTAATCGAGTCCGAGCAACTTTCTTCACCTTCATTGTATAAAGAGTATTGTGAATAGATCGTATTGATGAAAAGTGGCCCAGAACGGTTTTCTATTGAACAGACACTCTTTCATCATTTCACCGGTCTCTGATGTCATTAGTCCTGGATATTTGTATCGCTGTATACTGTACAGTGGGGGGTAATAGCATAATTTGGACACACAAATAAGTAATGAATGGTATTTTTCTAACAGGTGCCACACATGCGGGATAGGTCATTTGACATGAATCAGTTTTATGTGAATTTAAATCACTACAAGCTGATTTGAGTCATGAAAGGATATGACTTCGATTCTGGGAAAATGGAAATGCTAAAACATCTCCCAACATTAACCATGCTATTACAGAATCTGTTCACTTGTTATTGTAAGTAAAATATTTTTAAACGATTACATCCATCTAATGATTGTTTGTATGTGTGATATGCCAGTAGAGGTATATGTGTACAAGCATGTGCATACGCGTAAAAAAATTATGTATGTTTGGCTAGGTACCAGTATATGAATGAGTTGTTTTGTGTGACTTGTATATTAGCATCATCATAGTTTCAACAGACAGTTCAAATGTTAAATGTTTTTGGAGGGAGAATTGCATATTAAAACTGTCATTATTTTATAACTGATGCGTAGAACTATTTACGTATCTGACAAGATACATTTCCTTGGTCCACAGAAACATGTTACCAGTAAACTAACTTGATAAGTAGCATAGCAGTCAGTGTGGTTGGAAACTTACTAAGCCGTCACTACTCAATTAAGTAATTAACAGACAATTGCAAGTGATAATACCCACCCGACACTAATTGCCCTGTTAATCCCTAATCCACCATGAGTTGACATTGAGTTCATCTTGCTGATGAGCTGTTGTGAGCGTAACGAGATGATAAACATCAAAGGTGGGGCAGGCTTTGATCATGTGTTCTGTAGAAGAGATTATGTCACTTGTTTAATGTTTATTTAGGATTAGCTACATCCCTTGATGCTACCAAGACCATACTTGAGATTATCAGACAGTTTGTCTGGATACGACCTGTTGTCTCAACTGTACTTATTGGATTCTGCCTTGTAGCAAACTATGTGTGCCACAAGGACTTGGGTTCCACTGTATTTAGAAACAGACGATAGATGCAATACTGTGTAACTTTATAACAATCAAATGAGTATTCAAATAGGAATACTCATATATTTACAATTACCCTTGAAAGGTTCCAAAACCGAATAGAATTACTTAAATTGTGATTACACTTGACCAATATATTTGGCAGTTTTTCCCGTTAATCTTAATTAAAGATAGGATAAATGATAAAAATATGATAATGATTTTACTCATGACTAATCATGGGCGGATACTACAGCTTTTTTAAAAGGGGGGGGGGGGGGGGGGTGCACAATTAAGATCTATTTATTGTCATTGGTGGTAATTTATACAGAAATAAAGATTTTTTTCGAAATAAAAAGGGGGGTGGGCACCGCAGAAAGTGATGATTCTGAATGAATAATGTCACATCAGTGTGATTCTGTAGGTTGTTTTATTACGACATTAATCAAGTCTAAAGGAATTAATACCACAGCAGTGTGACTATGTTTATGTGTTGTACACTGACGCTGACTATACCAATCTGAATGACTTTTGTGGTTTACTGCACAAACATAATTGACTTTAGGTATTCTTCTACCTTGAAATCCTTCTGAGATTTGACTAATTTGTTTATTTAGAAAATGGCATTGAAGCATCTGTTTCTGTTTTTGAATGTTCTTGCAAACACCTCTGGTTACTGAACCAATGAAATGTCATAAAATCAATAAATATGATTTTTTATCTTAACAATTTTTTTGTTTTGCTTCTTTAAGAAATATGATATTGATCATTCATAACATAGGTGCTTACATATATCAAATATACTAATGCCCTGAATGTTTTCCTACAATAAATACAGCTCACTGAACGAAGTTTTTAGTTCCATGTCAGTAGAAAAATTTTAATTGATATTTTTATGTACCGGTACTTTATTAGGTGTTTTCTGTGGATGCCATTAGTCTTATGCACCCATTTGGGTTAATGATATTCTGTTTCAAACTTCAATGAAACTCGTCTGTCAAGATGTAACAAGTACTGATACAGTTCCAAAATAATCTTTTAATCCCCCCAGGAACAAAGGCCCAAGTGAGCACATAGCCAATGACTTTCATTTTTTTGTCAGAGTGAGTATGGTGTTATGCCACTTTATGAGCAAAATTCCAACAATATCATGATGGGTGACACCAAGCAATGTACCGATGTGGTGAATCGAACGCCTCAACCACTAGGCTAGAACAAACTGGGAATATGAAGATGAAATGTAAGGATACCACCATACCAGGACTGAATGCTTTTCATTTAATACGCTGAACATCTAAAATGAAATATATAAGAACTTGAAAAATGTTTTCACCAAAAGTACATGCCCATAGATCTCAACTTTAAGGGGATATTTACAACTATAATAACACAGAATATTACTACAGCTATCTGCTATGCCCAGGCTAACATTAGTTACTAGGAGAAAAACATCTCGAAAAATTGCATCCGGATACCTGCCGGATACCTGCCGGATACCGTCAGCAATGTTCAATTTTCATGGTTAGTTTCCAATATATTTTTAGGTGTTTCACACTTAATTGAACAAAATGCACCCCCAAATTGTGACATGTTTTTGGAAACTCAGAATGAGGTATCCGGTGCCGGATCCCTGGCCACCCAGATTGAGGTATCCGGTGAGGTATCAGGTGCCGGATACCCGGATTCCAGGTGGCATACTTTCCGGTGAGGTGTCCATGCCGGATACCACGGATCTGGTTTCCGGCAAGGTATCTGCCACCGGATACCCGGACGCGTTTTGGGTAAGTGTCCGGTGGTATCCGGAAGGTATCCGGATACCGGAAACTGCATTTTTTTTGCTGTGAATGGGTCCAATTTTTGAATCAAACAAAGCAACAATTGTCTTCAAAGATATATCTGGATAAGTTTTCATGAGTTGAAATAACGGAAAACATGACTTTCTAGCTTGTAATGAAATAGTCTCACAAGCTTTAGACCAGATTAACCTGGAAGAAAATATAATGCTGACATTTCCATAGATTTATAAAGCCATTTTCCACTTTTTTAGATACCCGCCATTTCTGAAAAAAATAATTTTAGTCTGTTTTCAGTCGTACAAATGGGTATCTCTCATACCCTCACTTCTAGTCGCACCTTTAAAAGGAAGCCAGAAGCTGAAATGTAAACATTAAACTTGTTTCCCGGTTGCGCACGCACCTCCCTATGACATGTCACAAATCTCTCAGCGCGCCTCAGAGACTGTTCGCTCGAGAAAGACTGTCGCGGTAGACTGCTAGTTTGTATTCTACTAGTACTTATCGCTTGTCTACAGTTGTTGTTCTAATAAAGTAATAATAATATGTCTTACCTGTAGACTCCTGGAATGTAATCCTTGGTAATCCATTGTTTGTGTTCAACACATGTTTCACTGTTTGACTTGATTATACACGTGACATCATGTAGGGCATTTGTGCCTCATGTCAAAGAAAACTGTCTAAAGTAGATCCTGACAAGTATTGACCTTCCTGCATCATTAAGGACGGGTTTTCAACTTGTTCGTGGGATAAACGTTGTAAAGAATGTGAGCACTTGTCTTCTATAAACTTTAACTTGTATCTTCGTGTATGGCGAAGCAGGCTGCTGACCAGCACTACAAGCGGAGAAGGTCATCGGGTGGATCCTTGGACTCTGCACCCTCCACATCCGGCCCTGGGAGTGGCGAGTCGGCCACACCCAAGAAATCAGTTGATTAAGACCAGCCTCAGTCAACTTCTGTTTTCGCCTGCTGATGATACTACCCGCACGACTGATCTTCGTCAATCAGTTGATCAAGA